AACACGTACTGATTTGCTACGTGTGGTATTTTAGTCATCGAGTGAAATATATAGAGCGTAAATATTATTTAAATACATAAAACGAGAATCGAAATTCATAATGCGAATTAAAATAATGAAATAAAAAAGTAATGATAATAATATTAATAATAATAATAATAATAATAATAATAATAATAATAATAAAATAATAGTAATAATAATGAATAAGGAAGAATAAAAAAACGAAGAAAAAAGAAAATAAGAAGAAAATGAATAAGAAAACAAACATTCGCCCATTTTCGTACTACTACTACGGACGGTTATGTGAATTGCTCCGATATGATAATATTAATATTATACTATTATTATTATTAAAATAATTGTAAGGTAATTGCTCTGTAAAAGAATAAGAACACAGTTTATTACAACCAACAGTCAACAACAAGCAGTAAAAAAGAATGAAAGCATTACATTTTTGTCACAGGATGTATAATGTTAAAATTAAATTCATTTCATAATGGTTTATTTCTTTTTCTACGATATATCTTCTTTAAATAGCAATCCACTTTCCTTTTAGAGATATCCTGGATCATTGATCACATTTATTTATGCAGTTTCCATGTTTGACAAGAGTTATTTGGTCTCTTCTTTGAATCATCATGTTTACCGAGGAAGGGAAAACATGTTACGACAGTATTCACAATACGTAGGAAAAAAAATATTATTATTTGATAAAAGCATCATTTAAATTGGTTCACTCTAAGTATAAAAAATATTGATGAGAACATTTCGGAGATGTGCATTTTTCAGCATTAAATTCTCTGAAATTTTAAGTATCTTAGATGCTCCATTCATAAGATGAATTAATTTGTAATGAACAGATGTGTCTATCACACATTCTTATATCGTAAACAAATTTATTTGATTCATTATAATATTTGTAACGAGATTTCATTTGAATTTTTTATTTTTTTTTTATTTTTAAGATTTTTCTGCTATCTATGAAATAATTATTAAGTTAACAATGTGTGTGTGTGTGTGTGTGTGTGTGTGAACCAAAGAATACAGAAGTACATAGAAGCTCACAAGTCATCTTTTTTATTTACCTAGTTTCATTTTAGTTACTACCGGGACCACCAGTTGGCGATGACTGTTAATCTATAAAAAATATAGATTGTTTTAATTAATAAAGAGATATATATATATATACAATATTTTTTACCTCTATCATTCACTTAATTATTTGAATATAGTTTAAAACTCTATAATAGTGTGACCGTCACGCCAAAGCTTGGCGCCTCCGGCACTCTTACCGTCACGCCCCTAGTGGCGAAACAAAAGAACTAAAAAAAACACCACGCATTTGAACAACCGCTGTTATTCGCTCTCTTCCGTTCCAACCACCGAGCTAGACACACGCGTACTCATGAGCAGTAAACAAAGACGTGAAACTAGTCACTACTTCCTTTTTACTCTTTAAGATTTTGTTAAGTTTGTTATATATTTTGTACAAGACCTTTTTGATACGTTTTATAATAAAATATTTATATAATATTTTTCCCTAGTGAATTAGTGATTTCCTAATATAATTGAACACGCTACAATAGTCTACCTACTATCGCCCACTGGTGACCCTGGTAGTAACTAAAATGAAACTGGGTATAATTAAAAATAGTATAATAAATAATATAAATAATATAAATATTATAATTATAATTTTTAAATGTATAATTAATAAAGAAGGGGACTTGTGTGTGTTTCTATGCACGTCTGGTATTCTTTGGTAGTACATTTCATTTACTATACAGTTTTGTTGAATAAAATTTCCTAAAAATAACACTAAGTAATATTTTAGCGTTGAATCAAATCATTGGTCAGAATACTAGATTTAATGTATAGGGAAATTGATTTATTTCGAAAACTCTAATCGTTATGTTTCCTATTATTATTAACGATGATTTATTAAAAGAAATTAATGAAATAATAATTGTTATAACTTTAAAGAAAAGTATATCGTAAAACATTTAATAGCGCAAGTTTATAATATAATATTTTAATGTCGATTCTTGTTATAGTCAAAGGTTAAATGCAACTGTCAGAAGAGCGGGATTCAGTAAATTTGTTTAGTTGAACCGAAATAGTTTAGATTCGTTTTCTTCTTCATTAGTTTGTCTTATAAAAAAAGTTTTGTATAATTAATTAAAATGTCACACAATGTGTCGAAATCTAGTCCACATGGATTTTGTGATGCAATATTTTCTATGTCACCGATAAAATTCGATAAAGAAAATAAATCTCCCAGAAAAGATGTGTAAGCTACAATTGTTATCGTATTTTCATCAATCACGAGTAGTATAATTTTATTTTATTCAATATTATATTTTATATGTATATATATTTATAAATTTCGTGATTCATAATAAATGTTCGCATATTGAAGGTCTGTTGTATAATATGATATTATTAATTTATTTTAATTAAAAATGCATTTTACAGATCAAGAGAATTACACCGTGATCTATTTACCGAATCACACGTTGTTAAAAATCAAAATAAAAAAATACAATCGTTACATAAGAAACAAAAGTTATATACTAAGAATGAGATTTCACAGTTTCTTGACCCATCAAAGAGTTTTTCCAATGTTGATGATATACATTCGAAATCTACAACTGCGTTACTAAATCATGATTCTTTCATATGTGGTAATGTAGCAAAAACATCTGTTAAGACAGAATCTACATCAAGAATATCTGGTAATAAAGCTGCTTCCGGACATTTACATACGCCAAAACAACATAAAACGTGTTTAACTCCACGTAATATTAAGATGAATGTATTATCTACCACAAAGACTCCTACTAAAAAATATCTCAGCGATCACAATTTATCGCAAGCGACTCCTGATTGTTTTAGTAGAGTACAACTTGAAACACCTAGTATTAAATCTAATGATGTTAATATCGATGAAGGTATCGAAGGTGAAAATAGTAATTTAACAGTGGGTATACGTGTGAGACCGTTAAATTTAAAGTAAGTTAATCTATACAGTGTTTGTATTTTCAGTTTTTTATTTTGATATTTTCTTGTATAGTAATTTGACAAAATAATGAAAATAATATATCTTTTACCATTGTACATGTGTAATACAATGACATTATTATCTTTACAGAGAATTAAGTGAAGTAAAAATTGCCTCAGTTATAAATATCGATGGACAAAGTATTATCGTTGATTGTGAAACATCGCTACATAAATTTACGTACGATCACTGTTTTGCTTCTTACTCTGATTCATCAATGCCTAGACACGCTAGTCAAGAAGTTATTTTTAATACCATGGCACTACCATTAATACAAAATGCATTTGAAGGTTACAACGTATGCCTGTTTGCATACGGCCAAACGGGATCTGGTAAAAGTTATAGCATGATGGGTATCGAATCGTTTCAAGAAAATTCCATAGATCTTGATAAAGAGGCTGGTATTATACCACGTTTTTGTCAGGAAATCTTTACACAAATACCCGATAACAAAAGTTATAAGACAACAGTGGAGATAAGTTATTTTGAAATTTACAACGAAAAGATACATGATCTTTTGGCAAGTACGACCAATGGAGATAAAAGAACTGCTCTTAAAGTTAGAGAGCATCCAGTTTTTGGTCCTTATATTGTAGATTTAAGTCAGCATTGTATTAAAAATTATAAAGACTTACAGGTATTTGTATACAATTTTTTTATAACTATATATATAATAATTAAAATCGGAGACATAGGTATACTTATGCTTTAAATTTATGAATGCTTTAAAATTTGTATCGATATATACATGTTCCTTCTAGATTTGGTTAAAAGTAGGCAATTCTCAGAGAGCAACAGCTGCAACTGGTATGAATGAAAAAAGTTCAAGATCTCATAGTATTTTCAGTATTATATTAACTCAAACACAATTGAATGATTTGAAATGTTCATCCAGTGATGCAAGTCGACGTAGTAAAATAAATTTAGTTGATTTAGCTGGTAGCGAAAGATTAAGTCAAACTTGTGCCAGTGGAAATAGATTAAGGGTATGTGTATGTGTATTTGTATGTATGCATAAAGAGATGGAATGGTAATCCAATATTTAAAATTCGTCATTCTATTTCTTTAATAGGAAGGTGTATCTATTAATAAATCTCTTCTTACTTTGGGGAAAGTAATCGCATCCCTTGCAGAAAGTACTAGCAACCGCAAAAGAGGTTTTGTTCCATACCGAGAATCTGTTCTAACATGGCTGTTAAAAGTGAGTACATGTTATCATTTGTTTTTATAAACAAAATAAATATGAATTTGTCCAAATTATACTTAAAGCTACCACGACTCTGAATGATCTAAAATTGAATAAATTTAATTTTAAGATTTTAATTTATAAAACTAATAGAGCTTTATTTCTATTAAATAATTCGTTAAATTTTATACTTCTTTATTATTTTTTTTTACAATGTTTTTTAATGGTAGCATAATTGTTACCGTCATAGCCGGAAATCCGCCATTGTTAGTAATTCCTCGGCATTCTCATCAATGTAAAGCGCCTTCCGATCGGCGGAGGGGTTTGCGTATGATCGTGTGTACCTGTACCCGAGAATGTATTCTTTTCAACGTTGTTTAAATAGTAATTTGATATTCTCTATAGGATACCAAAGTATTATGTTCAATGCTTAGGAAAAATTCTGTAAAAAGTCTTATTTCCGACTTCGTCGGAAGGCTATTTGCATTCATAGTAGTGCCAAGGAATTACTAGCAATGACTGATTTCCGGCTATGACGATAACAACATCACCAGTTATAGAGCATCCTACATAGACGACATATCTATATTATATGGTTTATCTCGGTTTATCTCGCTTTATCGTCTCAAAATAAATAAGTTAATTATGTAACTTTATACTTGAAATATTTCAAAAGTTTTTAAGTATAAACTCATACTTACTATAAAGTTAAAAAACTAAAATCAACTTTGAAAAAAATGCATTGTTTTCATAAATATTTAATCGTCTGAAGTTTAATTATGATAGTACAAATAATATAGCCTTTTTATATTACATAATCTTTAAATAGAGAACAAAAAATCGAGTTAGAAAAGGTTATAAAAATATAATTGTGTTTTGACTTGTGATTGAATTCATTGAGTTGATTATAAGAATATAGACGTGCTAATGTAAACGATATTAAGGACGCATTATGCTCGTCGGTTTAGTCTTAGTCATCATCGACCGGGTGGTGCTACGTGAGCCCGCTCACGTAGATTCATTCGAACCTTTTACGTACTTTTTCACTATATAGTTCGTAGATAATACAAATATACGCAGATAGACGCGATAAGAAATATAATTATTTTTTTTTTTTTTTATCTTCTTCCGAATCCATTTGCAATTACTTTTTACAATATGATCGATATTTTGTTATTATAATGCATTTGAAAATTGATATTATTTCAATATTATCATTCTATTTAAAAACTGTATAACAAAATAATCGTTTGCTTATCTTATTTCATTCTCGGATATTTATTATTTCTCTTACGTTTCGAAATGAGAACTGGAAATGAGAACACGTGTTATGCGACACATGCGCCCTTGGGTTCCTGCACGTATTGTTTTCCTCTCTCTGCTCTAAATATAACTTTAAATTCCAAATTTTAATGTTTTCCAAATATTTTTAACAATTCATCTATGTATGTATGTATGAAACTTTTTTATTTTACTTTATATATAAATAACTACTTTAATTATTTCGGATGACGTTCTAACGTTTATTATTATATTTGTTACATCTCAAAAATATAGTGAAAAAAAGGTTTTCTTTTATTTTATTATTTTATTGGATAATAACAATAATGCTAAATGCGAAGAATTAGATATTTTTCTTATTTACAATATGTTATAGATGAAAAAGTTGTACTGATTGTTTTGTTTAATATCCGCGAGATATAATAATATAGTTCGTAGAAAAGGAAATAATGAATTATTGTAAATTCGATTATTATTGTCGAGAATAGCAATTGGATGATTGCATTTGTTATGATTCATTAAAAATGGTAAAGATTTATATATTTGTACTGATTATTACTCATTCAGTCTTATTGCAGTATTCTCTAAATCAAATATTATAGTTAGGATCAATTAGTATAATCTTTGTTATTTCGCATACGATTAAATGGCAACGAATAAGCTAAACTTGGCACAAAATAATTGCTTTTTTATATTCGCATTGATAACATTAAGATAGAAAAATTAGACCAATTTTATAACTACGATTTATATGGAAATGAACATATAATATGTGGGTGTGTATTTAGCTGAATAAATATCCATAAGCTAATATTAATAATGAAGAATTATTTCTTAATAATATGATAAGGTGTAAATAATGAGGTTACGTAATCCTTTTTTCTCTCTTAAATTAATGATAAGATAAAGAGAAGGAAGATGTTTGTAAACACGAAAATTTAATATGCTTTGTTTTTTTTTCCTTTTTTAATTTATACGTATAATACGTTTTCTTTATCTTTTATTCTTCTTCTTTTTTTTTTCCATTGAAGTCTTTAGAATTTAAAAAGAAAAAATCTTAACACACGAATAATGGACGGCACGAGTAACTTTGGGAAGTTTCACTTTTGCGTCATGCATTTATTTGCAAGCTTTTCTTCCGCTTTGTACAACAATCTCTGATCGTTATTTATGGACGATACGTTAATGTCATGGGTTTTATCGATTGATTTGTTTATCTCGTTATTTACGATTTGATTTTCCTCATCCTCGATCTCTTCAACTTCCTCGTGAATTTCACGGCAAAAACTTTTTCTGGATTTTGTTCTTATGTAAAGTGCGAGACTTCGTCGCTTATTTTCCCGGCATAGATGACAGTTTTTTGATGTCTTTTTTCCTTCTTGCTGATGATATTCTTGGGGTATTATTTGTTGTTTTTGTGTATTTTGAAGACGCTGGCATCTAGTAGTCGATCGGTCTAAAAATAAAACAAACACAAACAAAAAATTCATTTCAGTGGAAGTTGTTTATCTCCCCGTGATATCATATGTTTTAATAACATAGATTTTCGTAGTGTTTCTATACTAATATAAGGAGAATTAGCAGGGAAAACCGGTTTTGTCGATATCTTTTTGTAAAATAGCAATTAGCTCGGAATACACGTTTATACGACGACGATGACGACGACGACGACGAAGTATATCTTTCTACGTAGAAAATTTCATTCTAATTGTGTGTCCAAATTGTCTTCTAATTATTACATTACATGCATACTTTTAGTCAGACAGTTTTCATTTTTGCCAAATTTAAATATTTACATTGTCCGTTTGTAAATTATTATCAAAATACGCTGCGACTTTATCATAAGAGGAAGAAAATTAACGATCGATTGATTTTGTTTCGAAAAATTCACAACAACGAGGATTATAATGAAATTCTAATGAGATCATAATGAAATTATAATGAATTTATTGCATAATCATAAGATTAAACCTTCGAAAGCAATGACTGAGGAGTTGAGTTGGGTGCTATTTCTCGTTTTTATCTTTTCATAAGGTTTTACGCGATAACAATATGCGCATATGCAACTATGGTATGTGCATAGTAAAATTTTCAATCTTGTATAATTGTTTTTTAGTTAACTTGACGATAAAAAACATTTTTTCTTTATACTAGATTAATAAATGTATATTTGCGTTTGTGACGATGGCAACCAATTGTGTTTTTCCACTGAAAGAAAAAGAGAGAGAGAGAGAGAATCTATTTTTAGAACGCATAACAATCTCTACTTTGCATATAACTGAGTCCTCCTCTCGTCTCGAATGGTCCACGCATACCTTTTTTATATCCTAAAGATAGAAAAGAGAACACATTGATATATATATATATATATATATCAATAAAGTATAAATGTTGATCTTATCAACATAAAATTGACAATTGTTGAATTACGTATCTTGACTTTTTGTTGAAAAGAAAAGAAAAATACAAAAGACGAAATTGCAAATGCCACTTGAGCGCAACGCACCTTCGGTAAACAGGCCATCCAGAAATAGAATACTACGTATATTATTATATGTGAAAAAGCACGATAGAGTACGCACGTTACGGACACGTAACCCTTTCTCGAGTAACAGGTTAAGGAAATAGATATGAAGAGTAACATACAACTGATTGAAGGTGAAAGAAAGAGAAAATGAATGAAGAATGAGTAAAAGAAAATTTCAAAGAGAGAATAAAATAAAAGACGCAAAAATAAATGATGAAAGGTCAGCGTAATATTAGATCGTAATAGTTACTAATTTTCATCGATTGTGCAATATTTTGATCATCTTCAAGTAATCACGCGTAAATAACTTTCTTTTGAGATATTTTTAAAAGTATCGTACATACATACATATACACATTGAATATAGTATTACAATTAAATGTCATTTGATTTGAGAACTCGTTTAATATGTTTCAAAATTGGTTTTTCTTTTTGTCTTTTTTTGCATGATAAATGCATGTCGTGGATTAAATTGTAATATAGTTAAATTATAATATAGAGATTTGATTATATAAATAAATATTCTCGAAGCGTTGCTACAATGAATTAATACAAAATCAAGTTTATTATTAAATCGAATTTTAACCACAAAACATCAATCAAATTGATGGGCATTTAGTCGATAACAAAATGTACGAAATTTTAATTTTTAAATCTTTCAATAAATGATAATAAATTAATCATTTTCTCTTTGTCTCTCTCTCTCTCTCTCTCTCTCTCTCTCTCTCTCTCTCTTTCTTTTTTAATATTTATGAAAAAGTAGAATTATAAGAAATACAAAATTAAAATTATAATTAAAATGATAAGATACACGTTGAAAGAATACGACTATCTTGAAATTTGTATTATTTCTTATTCTATCTTATCTATCGTCGACCTCGTCTTATCCTTTATTTAATTCTACATTTTTCTTCTATTCTTTATTTTTATTTTTGTTTGTTTTAATATTTCGCCAATTTTTATTTAATTGCATTCTAAGCTTTCTTATCTATATATCAATGGACAATGATAAAATACAGTGTTTCCAATGTTTTCAAGTCCTAATTAAACATTTACCGATAAGTAATCAATTTCAATTTATTCTTAAGATTACATTTTTTTGATAATATGGACAAAATTAAATAGATTTTATCGAAACATCATCAAATCCGAATATTGATATCTAAATCTTGATATCAAGTTTCTTTTTGGTTTTTAAGTACTTAGTTTGCAAATTATTCGTAATTTGTTGCAAAACATATTGGTTATATTGGGAATAAATTTTAAAAATAATGCAATAGCTTTTTTTTTTAGAAACATGAAAAAATTTTTCCACATTCGAGATATTAAAAAGTTAAGAAAAATGTAAACAAAATTATAAAGATAGGGAAAGCAAACAAACGATTTTATTATTCCTGCAATAATTCTATCAAAGGCAACATTATCTCTTTTATATTTATTTTATTCAACCTTATTAATAAGACAATTATCGTAACGGAAATGATTAATCTATCGGAACGAGAAATGAAATAATATGTGATTATATAGTATTTTATAATATTTTAATGCAGTAATGCTTTTGAATAAGTATTTTCAATAATAATTGTTTAACACTTTGACGGCCACTTTGTCAATAAAAATATACTTAATAATATCTTGATAATATCTTAAGATAACAAAATTGAAGTACTAAACGATAGATATATCTCATTGCCGGTCTGCGAGATAATTTTAATATTAAACAAACGTCAATGTGTTAAAAAATCTAATACATACATATACGTATATTATATGTGAAAGTAATTATACAATTATACTTTGATATAAGCATATAAAAGTATATTATATATGAAAATTTTGCACTTTATTTTAACTTTCAAATTTGATTCTCAAAGTGAAATTTTTCAGTGAAAATAAGTTTTGCGTAACACGATTATCTATGTATATTATTTTTCAAATTCAATATATTGTATATGTAGATGCAGCAATTAGATCTTCTGATGATAATAAGAAACAATCGTGTATTTTAAATGGATCGGAAATAGGATATGCCAATGTACCGAAATAAGCGCCAATTTCAATTACTTTTTATGACTCATCTTGATTTCATACATTATAAATATTACATATCTTTTTTGATTTAGTAAATAGATAAAAAAAAAAAAAAGAAATAATCAATTATATTGCGTGCGATACAATTTTTTATAAATTTTAATACAAGCAGCGAACCGAAAAACCCGGGAAATTTAAATTCTTTCTAACAACAAATATTATACATACCATGTCCAAAATAATTCTTGTTCCAAGGTTGCTCGAAATCATGATATAATGGGCTCCTGAACGATCCATAAGTTAATACTTCAGGAATATAGACGAGATCCATAGTTATTTATTTATCTGGAATATTTATAACTTTCTTGTTATTTTATATGTTGTTTGTGTGTTATACTCTCAAATGAGTTTCGCAAGCATTTGAGTTACTCCTTCTTTCTACTCTAGTATCACAATTAGCTCGTAATAATTAGCATAGTTAACTCAATGGCATGTTTCTTGGAGTTATTAAAACTCAAAGATGTATTATTTTTCTGTGCTCTAGAAACTGTTGTCTTCCTCCTCCTCCTCCTCGTCCTCCTCCTCTTGCTCCTTCTTCTTCTTTCAAAAATTTGTCTACTATGTTGCGTATGTTTCTTATCAGATCAGCTGAGACCAATACAGTAATTATACAGTCGATTTATACAGTAATTATTGTTTTGTTTGAGATCGTATTTGTTAATGTTTTTCTCGAATAATGATATCTCTCTTCGATTATAACGATTACGATAATAATATTGTTATGGTAAAATTACTGAAAAATTAATGAACGTAAAGTCTCTTCGAACGTCTTGTTTTAAACTGGCGAACCTCGTTGACGGCACGTATGTTTAGCCTATCTCTCTCTCTCTCTCTTTACCTTTTTCCGTTCTATATAGTCTTCCCTACCACTACATTTTCCTACAACTTGCCTCTCACTCTCCTTTAGAATCGTGTCTCCTTGTCCTTGATGCTTTACCCCTTCCATTCATACATGTACTACGCGTACACTTGAAACGTCCTCTCTCTCTCTCTCTCGCTCTCTCTCTTTCTCTCTCTCGCTCTCTCTCTCTCTCTCTCTCTCTCTCTCTCTCTCTCTCTCTCTCTCTCTCTCTCTCTCTCTCTCTCTCTCTCTCTCTCTCTCTCTCTCTCTCAACGCTTTGATAAACTTTTTCATTTTATTTTCCTTCTTTCGTCTTTTTATTGATATTATTTTTCGCGCGCGTAATTAGTTTATTTTTTGTTCTTTTCTTCACTCAGTCGCGACAATTTCCATAGCTTTCATTTTTGTTTATTCAAATTTATTACAATTGATTGTAAGTATATTTCTTTATCAATAAAAAGAAAAAAACCAATTTATTATTCGCGATATTAACAATGCTAATTTTTATATTCTAATTAATCCTGTCAATATTTAAAAGTCAGTTCGATTAAAAAGTTTTTTTTTTATACCTGTTGTTTTTTACCTGTTAGTCTTTCATTTATACCGTTCGTAATGTGTTTTTTCCTTTTTTTTGTTTGTTAATCAATGTTATTATTATTTGTATAAAATTATTGGAAAATTGTTAAATCTGGACGTCTCCTTCCATAGGAAGCACAGGAGCTCTCTTCTTTTCTATCTACGCTTTAATTTGAAAATGTTTATACATATATAATATAAATAATTGCATAACACATAACTGCAACAATGATAAATTTTACATCAGGATTAGACTTTCAACTAATTGTCCTTGAATTGTTTTTTTTTTTCTTCTCTTCTGATGGAGAAAATAGAACGAAGCTATTATTTAGATACGGCCTTTTCTTTCCTACAACTCGTAATGCAAATGGACCAGTTTTCTCTCTTCGTGAAATACAATTTCTACACGTATATAAATGTGTTAAATATAAATAATAAAAAATGTTTGAAAAAAGGAATTTCTGCGATGTTAATCTTCGACAAAAAAATATAGTATATCTTGTCATCAACGTAATCCCATATAAGACTATAAAAAAGCTATCTTTGAAGATAATGATAAGAAGAAAAGGAAAAAAGTTTATTGTCATTTTATTAAGTACTTAAGATAATAATAATAATTAAGTTAAAAATGTATTTTCAACCATAAACAATTTCTTAAACTTACTATTTATGATCACAAATAAATAAAGCCCACATTTCAATATATTTGAATTAAAATATATCCTTATAATAGAATGGTTTTTAAATCAAAATCAATATTTAAAACACATGTACTGAAATTAGTTTTCATTTTATAGGAAAGCTTGGGTGGAAATTCTCGAACAGCAATGTTAGGAACAGTTTCACCAGCTAATATTCATCTCGAAGAAACCTTAGCAACCCTTCGATATGCATCTCAGGCTCGAGCTATTGTTAATCGTATTCGAATTAACGAAGATCCACACGACAGATTAATTCGGTAATTTTCTTTTTTTTTTAAATTCATACTTTATGTACGCATATTATTACATGATTTATATTAATTAGAATGAAAATGTTATACCTCCAAATATTCTAGCGAATTGAAAGCAGAAGTTTTACGATTACGAGCAGTTCGTGAAGGATATGAAAAACAACTTAGAATTAGTCCACGTAATCGGATGGACCATTCAACTGGTATTGAACCAAACGTCAAAGATCGTCAAGAAATCGTACGAAAGCAAGAAGAAATAAATAGGTTAAAGGAACAATTGAAAAAAACAGAGGAACAACTGGTTGCTACTCAAAAGTAAGTTTATAGTGGATAAAAAGCAAGGAAAACAAAAAAGGAAACCAAATTTTTTCCAACAAAAATATATATCATATCATAATTACTTACTAATTTTTTTTTTGACAATGTTTCTGCTGATTTTGTATAATAATTACTTCGAATTTGACGTGTTAAATATAATTTATCAACGAGCATTATCTCCATTTTTAAGGTTTTAAATAGGAATGCGGAAATGGTTTTGTTATTTATTGTTAGTAGTATTTTAACGTATTATTCATTGGTACAAATTTCGCTGAATTGGCATAAATTTTCTTAATTATATGCTTAATATCTAAAATAAATATGTCTTTAACCTGATATAAACTTTAATGGTCAGCGAATTTCGATTGCAGAAGCAACTTGAAGAAATTGCAGGAAACCGAAGAAAGGAAAAATTCAGAGCTGAAATATTTAAGACGTTGCGGAATCGCAGTTGAAATAGATTTACGTGAGAGAGATAAGCAACCATATTTGATAAATCTTGCTGCTGATCCTATGTTGTCTGGTACATTATTGTATCTAATTCCACCCGGGTTGGTACGCATTGGAAAACGCTCTGAGAATTCAGATAAATTTCAGCTATTACCACAATTGGATATTGTTTTGGATGGGCCACTTGTTCGAAAATTGCACTGGTTAGTTCTCGATTTATAGGGTGATGGTCTCTTCAACAATTGAGAACGTTCTTCTCTTAATCCCGTTTTGGACGTCAATCAATCCACAATTACCAGAAATACTATTATTATTCTTCCTCACTACTTTTTGTATTTTAACATTTTACTTCTGATTATGATACTATTCCTGGTTTTCCTTCATCGACACTTCGTTTCTCGTCCAAACCTTCACGTAATCATGTCCTTCATCATTGGACTCCAGGCTTGGTTACCATATCCTATTTAATGCATGATTATATGTATTGATTACATCGTTGACTTGTTTTTACAATTATCGATCCTACACTATCGATTGGAATAACAAAATGCTAATGAAAAATATTTACTGCTGATAAGATGAACGTTTATGAAATATATTATTTTCTTTTTTTTTTTTTTTATATATATATATATACGAGTTAACTTGCATCATAGGTTTTTCTTCGTTATTGCGTATTTCGATTCGTAAAAAAGATTATTTTCTAATTCATTATAATTGTTTTTATTTTGTAAGAAATCGGATAATACTGATTGTTAATTCATGTTTTTCCTTTTTTCTTTTTAATAGTACTATAGAAAATAAAAACGGCAAGCTTATGCTAGTGCCTGAGATGAATGGTGATACTTATGTGAATGGTCAGGTAATATTAAAAGTATAATAATAATAATAATATTATTATTATTATATTATTATAAATATAATTATTATGTTTGCATATAATATCTTCAATCATGCATATTTATTATTGACAGGTGATAAGTGGTAAAATACATTTGAGACATGGTGATAGACTTGTCATAGGTGGCAATCATTATTTCAAAGTTTGTAATCCTCATGACGAGATTGGAAACATACAAATTTCTTCGCAAGCTATAGACTTTGACTTTGCTCATCAAGAAATACTTAAAATACAAGAAGAAAAGTAAATTCTTTTTTAACGTAGAAAAAAAATTCAATTTATTTAATATAACAGTAATATTAATAATAATTATTATTAAAATTGTTTAGATTAAGAGCAGAACTTGAAGAATCAAAACAGAAAGCTATAAAGGAATTAGAAAATGCAAAGCGAGAAGTTGAGCTACAACTTGGCTCTCAAAAATTTACTTATGAACATAAAATCGAGGTACTTGGAAGTACATTGGAAGAACAAAAGTTAGCATTGGAAGAAATAAATCGTCGTAAACAGGAACTTGAATTAGAAAAGGAAATGCTAGCCAATGAAATAAAAATAAATAATAGAATTAAAGAGATTCAACAAGTGGAAAGTAAATCAAACGTGTCGCCATACAAGTCAAATTTTCTTCAAGATTTAGAATGTATATTGAATGAAACGACTGCTGATTTTGAAAGTGCCCTTAAAATCAAATGTAGCGCTGAAACTATCAAAGCTGGTGGTATTAGCTTGCATGAGATGCAAATATTCGTTAGAGAAGCAACCGAACGATGCAGAGAAGTTGGCATTAATTATGTATGTATTCAATGTTATAATGATTATGATTGTCCAACTTGTTTATCTTATTTCATAGTCATTATATTATATAAAACGAAAATTTATTACGTTTTCAGTCATGAAAATCTCAAATAGCCTGAATTAATGGAACATATTCTTACAATAATAATAACAAAATTCAATAGCCTTGAATTGTAAATTATACTGATCATAACAACGTATTTAATTTCATTTCGACAATATAAACTTGATTTATTTGTATTCTCTCTATTTTAGGAATTCAATCAACAACAAACTCTTATAGATAAGAATCTGAGACCCGTGATTCGTGTTCGAGATAAGGATCGTAAAAAAGAAACCTTGTGGGAACCAATGAGATTTTTAGATTGGGTCCATCAATTGCGTGATTATGATATAGAAAATTCATTAAAGGAGTTAAAAAATTCTGAAAACGATTGGGTATCTTACGATGATACGGAAACGTTTGAGGATTCTTTAAATAGTAGTAGAATATCTATCAATTTAACACCTGTTAAGAAACATTTAAATGAAAGTTTTCAACAATTATCTATGGATACGTCAATCCATGATTCTACGACACAAGAAGAGGCATCTGAATCTCAACAACGCAAAAACGTGTCTACCTATTTACTACAGATAGAACGAGCTACGCAAGCTTTGAGTATACTATGTCAACGGTGCGAAAGCCCTGAGATCAACAACACGATAAGCGAGTCTTTAGATAGAGTTCAAAATATTATCGTTGACATAAGAAGTATGTTGCTGGTTAAAAATTTAAAGGATAATAAAAATGAAAGTGAAAATTCGAATGGATCTGTTAATAATAATACTACTGTAATCGAAAAAATCGATTGTAAAAATTCAGTATTATTAGAGAATATTGATCATTCCAAAGAAGATGTCAAATCAAACACCACTTCGCCGATTAAATCGAATTTACGCAACAATACCACGGCGCATGTCAAAAATGGAAATATTCTAA